TAGCCAGCCAGGAGTTTTTCTCTGTATGTTAGTTATCTTTGGTTATTCCTAAGCATTTGACAAGTACTGATAAAGTTACAGCCTCATCTCAGGTGAGCAGAAGGAACTTGAAGGGGAGAGTCTGGGGCTAGAGCTAAAAGGCGAGCAGCATAGTAGTGGCATAGTAATTAGTGACAGATCCCCCAGAAGAAGGTGAATCTAAGTGGACAGGCAGCTGGAATATAAGATCTGGGTATCTCCTTCTATGTGGACATTCACTCTTCTGTCTTGCTTAAAGGACTCAGATGCTATTTTATGAAAAGAGCTGGCATCACGTTATTCCTTATTAGAATAAATACTGATGAGAGGATAATGTCTTTGTTGAGGAATAAATTACTTTACACCTTCTCTTTGCTAGATTCTATGCTAAGAGTAGACAAATGAAGGACTAGAGGCATACAGTCTGGTAGAAAGAGATTTGTGAGCAAAAAGTAAAACGGATGTTTGAATAGACATATTTATCAGACATAGGGAGGCAAAAATAATGGAGGGATAACAAGCACATAAAAATGTAATGTGATTCATAGGCTTGAGTCCATACTCTAACTTCAATCCTAAACTTTTTCAAGGGATTCATGTACTCTATCAGCAGTTAATGTCAGAAAACATTTTCTATCCTGAAGTCTGAATTTTTCATTCCCTTTTAATACATAAACAAATTCAAGCATATTTTATTTTGCCTGGAGAAAAGAAGGCTATGTTGGGGGAATCTATTTATCTGTGGTCTCTGATCTTAGGTTACCTCTCTTAAATCAAGAGTTCAAAGTCTGGGTCCTAGAGCTCATAGATGGGTTTCATCCAAAACCATCCTGAGGTCAATAAAAATTTAAAAAGATCCATGACCCATTAAAACATATTTTTAAAAGGTCACTTTTGTTTCATAATATGAATTAAAGTATACAATTAAGAATCTCTTTGGGTTTCTCCTGAGACTATGATTTAATGACCCTTGGAATCCCTTTTTGTCCATATCCATGTTTAAAGAGATCCTACCAGCAATGGAGCACTGACTTTGTATTAAAAACTACATTAATAACTAGAGAGTAAACAATGCTTCATGTAAAAGAAAAACCATAGTTCTTATAAGCGACACATTGCATAACCTGGGTATCAAAATACACTATGAGTATATTTTCTTATTTTGAATTTTAAAACTTACTCATTTGAATCTCTTATATTTTGGTTCATTTTTATATTTCTTATCTTTAGTGTTCTTCAATTTCAATATAATACATTTAAATGGGTTTATTTTTCTGTATCACACTAGTATTCTTGTACTTCATAAACATGAGAATGAATCACTTCTGGAAAATTATCATCCATTATCTATTCAAATGTTGCCTCTCCTTCATTCTCTCTATTTTCTCCTTCTGGAACTCCTACCTTCGTGTTTCTTAACTCAATAATGTTTATATTTTCCATTTATTTATGTCTCTGCATTCTAGGTATTATCATCGATTATACCATGGCTAATCTGCATTTTTAACCTTTCCATTGAGTTTTCATTTCAAAATTATATTTTTCACTTACAGGTTTTCTATTTGTTTTTTAAAAATAAGTCATTCTTTGTTAGGGTTTAACTTCTTTATATACTGTCAACATTTTATACATACCCATTTTATATATTCTCTTTCATGTTGCTATATGATCTCAAGTTATTAAGGATTCAATACTGCTGTTATGTCTCATGTTAACTCTCCCTCATGGACTGTACTGTCTGCTAACTTTTGTTCTTAGTTGATTGTTTCCTTGTGTGTTTCGTTATGTATTATAGTGAGCATATCTTTAGCAGAGATTGCTGTTTTCCTGAAAATCCTTGGCAGTCTAGATAGTTGGTACTACACTTTCAGAATGCCTTTCTGTTTTACTCTTCTAGGAGCCTCAGGAGTATTTTTCAACTTGAAGATTTCTAGGTCAGTTAGGTAGTGTAAAAAACAAAAGCAAAAATAGAGTCACATGATGTTCAGGCCCAAAGAATGAAATTCTTAGGGGAAGGTTCCTTTTCCTCTTACTAACAAAGTTTTTTGTTCTCACTCCGTGCTGATGGCATATTATGCTAGCCTAACTTTTCACTAAAATAAGGGTCCTGGTTTTATGCAGCGGACAGGGATGTCTCAGTTCCAACTCTCTGCCTCATCTGGAACCAAGGCCTTAGCTTTTCTCCATCTCACATGGACATTAGACTCCAACCTCCTGGTCACCCAGATCCATAATCACTGGGGTAACCACAGCATCGGTTCTCAGGATATACTCTGGCTTTTAACTTCTTTGCTTTTGGCAAATGGTAATCCCTTTTATTTTTTGCAAAATTGGGTACCACGTTAAAATCATTTAGATTATTTTATCCAGTACTGCTAGGTGTTTGTAACCGTAATTTTTTTTTAGAATATCTCAGTCTATTGTTTTGCCAGAGCTTTAGTTTACAGTTTGTTTCATTATTCATAATTAGTCTTTTCCAAGCAGAAATTTCAGTTGGACTATTTCAGATCTTGAGAACTTAGAAACACTTAACATTTTTTATGTCCAGAATTCTTCTCCATGTTCAGAAGGGATGGACTAGAGACATTTTTAAGTTCTAAATGAAGGAACTCTCTAACTCCTGGGATCCTCCTAGGACATGGACATTTCTTGCTAACCATCATTACAAACTGATCAAAATATATTGTATTAATTGATTTCCAATTAGAAGTTGAAAAAAGGGAGAATCTGAATCTTTTTCTTCTAAGCACCACTTCAAAATGTTACTTCTTACACTTAAGTTCTGAGAATATTTAATTGCTCTCAAACAAGATAATTTGCCACAATTTTCAGTAGTAAAAGCCTCATAAATATATATATAAATCATTCTACATAAGTGAACTATGACAATATTTTAGCAAGAGTCATAGAACTTATCCCACAGAATTGACAATTTGCAAAAATCTGTTATCTTACAAGGGAAAAAATCTCAGTGATTTGAGATAATGGCAGTACCCATATCTAAAGTATACTAGTGATTGCCACTTTCACAAATATTATGCCTCTCACTCTAGGAAAATATACAAACAATTGTTTAAATTACAAGTCAAAAGCATATAGAAGCTCTTATTTGTACTCTCTAACAGAGGGAAATAATTTTTTTTTTTTTTTTTTTTTGCGGTACGCGGGCCTCTCACTGATGTGGCCTTTCCCGTTGCGGAGCACAGGCTCCGGACGCGCAGGCCTAGTGGCCATGGCTCATGGGCCTACCCGGACCGGGGCATGAACCCGTGTCCCCTGCATTGGTAGGCAGACTTTCAACCACAGCACCTCCAGGGAAGCCCGGGAGGGAAATAATTTTCTTTCATTCTTTCTCATACATCACAGGTGTGAAGTACTATTGTTTACTGGTTAAAATTTTTCAGTTACTTGATTATTTAACTGGAAAAAATAAAAACCTTGCCGGAGTAAATAGTGATGAAAAGTAACTAAGAACCTTTTGGAAATAATAGACTTGGACAAGACCAAAGTCTTACTTGGAAACATGGCTCACTCTTAAATTTACTATCATACCTCTGACATGACAGGGGGTGCTCAATAAGAATTGAAGCACATTAAAATATTTCTGTTCATCTCTCTACTGCCAAGGCCTATCCATTAAGAGTGATCTAGGATTCCTGAACGAAGGGAGAAAAATACTTATTCTCTAAATAGTAGATGATGTAAAAACTAGATAAATCAATAAGGCAGTAAACCACATTTGAAGAAAGCATTGGGGAAACTTTTCAGGACAACTTGCAATTATTGTTTTATTTAGTCTGTCTCACTACTAACATATAGCCACAAGTGTTTAAAATCAAATTATTTTCCCCACACAGTAACAAGTGACTATAGAATGATTAGGTGATAAAGAGAAAAAAAAAAAGATTTTGTCTATGGAACAGTCTAATTTTTAAAAAGCAATATAGCTTTTATAAGTTGCTTAACTTACCCACAGGAAACATTACCAAACATAACCCTCAGGCTTAAGGGTAGATCTTAAGTCTAAGTCAATGAAAAAGTCCATCTATGTTTCAAACATACCCTTCAAGCAAATTTGAAAGTAGCTGTGTTCAGAATATCCAGAATTTATTTATTTATTTTTAATTTTTCTTGGCATATATCTCCTCACTACTCAAAGTATGCTCCACAGACCAGCAGCCGCTACATCTTCTCAGAGATTGTTAGAAAGGCAGAAATTTGGGCTGCACCTAGACCCTACTGAATCAGAATCTGCACTTTAACAAGTTCCATAAGTAATTCATATGCCATTAAAATTTGAGAAGTTCTGTAATAAAAGACACAGAAATATTTTCTAATTTAACGTCAAGTACAAGATTTCTTTTGAGGGTGATGTTCTGGAATAACATAGTGGTGATGGTTTCCCCAACTCTGTGCATATACTAAACACCACTGAACTGTACAACTTAAATAGATATATTTTATGAAATGTGAAATATATCTTAATTTTTTTAAAAAGAAAAAAGTAAGTAACAGTAAATGCTTTCAAACCATACAGCACGTAGATGAATGGAACCAGTTCCAATTTTTTTTTCTTTTATCTAGGGGAAAAATTAGATGCACCATTTCCCGGGGCTCAGTTCTTATTGGGAAAGGGATCTACAGCAAGCCTTGACTCTGGGCAGCCCTGACCAATGATCTGAAGGTGCACCCATCCATCCTGCCCCCCATCCCCCGAGAGTGACACACACACACACACACACACACACATACACACCTCTACAGCTGCTAACAGAACTGCTACTGAGAACTGCTTTCCTCGGGAAACCGCATGCGGATGGATGTGACATGTCAAGAAACCGTACTGCCCAATCAACTAAAGGAGCAAAGAGGCAGACACGCTATCTGCCAGCTGCACTTGTGGTCCCAGGCGTGTGGGGGAGGGGAGACTTCCTCATTCCGTCCTCTGCTTGCCCCTGCCACCCATCCCCCGCCAAAAAAGAAACTCCAGATTCTTAAATAATATCTCGTAGTCACTCAGGGTCCACAGCAGACGACCTTCTTCAGCTTCTACAATTATCAATTTCCGGCCCGCACCTGTAACAGGCTCGCCTCCCCCGTACGCCCTTGGTAAAAGCTTCGCGCTATGGGTGTGAAAGCCTAGAGGTTCTATTTCTCCTATTTAACCCGGAGAACCGGAGGCTGGGGAGAGGATGCCTGGGGTAAGTGCACCCCCTCCCACGCACCCCTTCGAACTTTGCTGCCGTCTGGTAGCTGAGGACCTGTGCGCTCCCCCTTAAGGGCTACGGCGGGGAGTGTTTAGAGGGCGGGCGCGCGGGTTCTCGAGTTCCCCCGGCAGAAGCGCCGAGCTGCGCCCAGGACCGATAGTTCTGGTCATCCCTCCCACAGATGCTAAGAGTCACTGCGGACGCAAATTTGAATCAGTCTCCCGCCCAGACCATGCCTTTGGCGCAGCGACACAGGGTCTCTTTGAGGGCGCCCGATTACTTGGGACTAAAGAAACCGACATACACCTATCACCTGTAGTGGCGTCGGTACCCCACGGTCTCACTCTCTCGGGCAAACCTACCCATGCGTGCTCGCCCGGAGCAAACCTTAGATCCGCGCGCGCCCTCCTCTCACTCGGGTCTCAGCCCGGCTCGTGTGGCCCTGGGAAGGCAGACGCGTGCGGAGACGCGCGCGGAGCCCCGGGTCTTCTCCGGCGAGCGCACACTTCCCGCCTGCAGCGCCCCCGGCCTGCCCGCAGTGCCCGCACTCACAAGCAAGGGTAGTAGCCGTAGGGAGGCAGGGGGGGCTGCGGCCAGCCGTCGTCTCCCACCTCCGAGTCCATGAGCAGATAGTCTTGGCTCTCGTTGCGCCGCGCGCGGGCCCGGGTAGCCACCCCGGGAGAGCCTCCCCTCCCGGGCCCGAACGCTGGGCTCTGGTTCATGGCGGGAACGCCCGACTGGCCGGGATCCAGCTCCTGGGGGAGGCGCCTCGGCAGTTCCAGTGGGGACCCGGTGCGGAGGGGTCCGCGTCACCTGCCGGACTGGCCCGCGGCAGACTGGTGCTTAGAGGGTGAGGGTGAGGCGAGGAGCGCAGACGCCCTGAGAGATGAGCTCCGCGAGCGGCTCACCCGCTGGCCCGGGGAGAAGTCACCACGCAGCGGGTCGCAAAGGGGACCTTTTCTGGGGTGCGTCCGGGGAGGCGGCCGGGGCTCCCGGACCGAGCGAGCGCAGGCGGGGCGGCGGGTAGCAGCGGAACCTGAGAGCTGAGAGCAAGGGAGACAGAGCTGAAGAGTTACTATGTCAACCGTGACTCTTCAGCCGTCGGCTCCCGCCTTCTTCCCCCGCATCCTCCGTCATGATTCCACCTTTAAAGGGATCGGAACGACGTTCCAGAAAGCAGCCAAAGCCTGTCGTGTAGCCACAACTTTCAGGACCAAGATGAACCTAAAGTAGGTGGAGCCACACATGCACTTTTTTTGTGTGTGGGGGGGCTAAGAGTTTGCTTATTTAGAAACCATACAAATTAAGAACTTTCTAGGAAGCTTCTCTTAAGTAAGACTCAAAGAACTCTTTTTTAAAAGAGACAGGAGGAGCCTCTCCTTTCTCCTGTCTGCCTTCATTTCTTAGGACATTTTCTCTCCCACTCCCAACCCCCGAAGTTATAACTCTTCACTTTAAAATGAACAACATTCTGTGTTCCCAATGCCAAATGTTCCCAGTTCCTGAGCAAATCAACAAAAATAGGCATTTTCCGATGATACCAATAGAGGCCACCAACCTGCTTACTTCAGAGAAAAACTTTCCTTCCATCATTGCAAATGCCAGAATTATCTCTCTGCCAGATGTTTCCCACATTTCCGAACTGTTTTTAATTTTAAGACATTTTTAAATTCAGATTTAATCTTCATACATGTGGAAAGTAAAAGAAACTCAACAAGGATGAATCACTATCTGTAGTAGTTCAAGTAGTTGTCATTTAGGAATCCATTCGTTCAACAAATATTTAATTGATCCCAATTGTGTGCCAAGCACCATTTTAGGATTCAGAGGCAAACTAGCCAGATAAGGTGCCTGTCTGCCTTCCTGGAAGAGAAGGAGACAGAGATTAAACGAGCAAACGAGAAAGTATCAGAGAAAAAGGCTACAATAAAAATAAGACAGGTTGATGTGATAGTAACTGGAGACTGACTACTTAAGATTATTAGGAGGTTAAAAGAGACCTTTCCAGGCAGGTGCTAGTTAAGTGGAGATGGACAGGGCAAGGAGCCAGACATGAAAAGATCAGAAACTGGTTGCAGTAGGATTGAAGAAAGCCAGACAGTCTGAAATTCTGTTGACAATGGTACTTTTGCTTCCCATAAATAGGTGGACAATAAAATGGATGTTGGAAGTGTGAAAGCAGTGAACTTGATGGAGGAGAAAAGAGGTCACAAATTTAGTGTTTTTGACTTTGCCAGTACACTAAGAACTAAAGCTCAGAGAGGACGGGAACTGTTGTATTCTGAGGGCCTGGGTCTGTATTTGTCACTGTTATGTGGAATGAGTGAACAGATGGATGGACGCAGTACAGAAAAAATAAGAAAACAGTCTTGGCCACTAAAAGAACATTTACCCTGAAAAACTAATCACCATCATTGTGAAGTACATTATTCCTGATTTAAGAATCTCCTTCTCGGGGCTTCCCTGGTGACGCAGTGGTTGAGAATCTACCTGCCAATATAGGGGACACGGGTTCGAGCCCTGGTCTGGGAAGATCCCACATGCCGCGGAGCAACTAAGCCCGTGAGCCACAACTACTGAGCCTGCGCTCTGGAGCCTGTGCCCCGCAATGGGAGAGGCCATGACAGTGAGAGGCCCGCACACCCCAATGAAGAGTGGCCCCAAGCCCTCCGCAACTGGAGAAAGCCCTCTCACAGAAACGAAGACCCAACACAGCCAAAAATAAATAAATAAATGTATTTTTTAAAAAAAGTCTCCTTTTATTTCCCATCATGTGGAGTCATGGTTTAAAATTCTTACTTTTGCCTAATAATTATACATAGTGAAATTTGTCTGTGGCAGTTGCCATCTGTAAGAACTCAGTAGCTTTGATGCTTGAATGAGTTAGTTAATAAATGTTTAATTTAAATAGTGCCAAAGTAATCTGTTTGGGAACATCAAGTATAGTAAACAATTTAGTGGGGAAGGTAATATTCAAATGTTTTTTGACATTTCAAATTCTATGAGTTAAAGAAAAGTTAGAAAAGACCAGTGGTGTTAGTTGAAGTGTTTCATGAAGTGTTTCATTTCAAAAACTGAAGTTTTTCATTCTCAGGTAGCAACCTTCACACTGAAAAAATTATTACAGTAAATTTATAATGTGATATCAATTTATCACTTTGCAAGATAAGACATGCTTTTCTCTGTTTCTTAAATATAGTTAGTACAGGACCAATAAATCCTAGGGACATTTTCCCAGGAGGGAGAAAGTGGTGTACAAAGGATTAGAGGATTCTGAAAGAGTTTAATGATATGAGGAAGTGGAAACAGCATTAGATTGGAAGGCTGAAAGCCTTGTTCTAACCGTTCCCCTAACTGAAGCTGTATGATTTGAGAGAGGACATCTAATCTCTCTATGCCTCCTTTACTGATCAGTAAGCAGATATATAATTACTAAGTACTCCTCAATCTCTAATTTTCTGTATTTTATGCTTATCTATGAAGTTTTATCTCTTCAATTATGTTAAAAAAAAAGTGAAACAAAGACAACCCAGACAGTTAATATATTTTTTAATCAAGTGAGGCATTGCTGAGTAGATCTGGAGTAATGAAGAAAATTGGTGAATGAAGTTAAAAAATAGTTGGATGAGTAAAGAAAGTATAGTTTTCACAAGCTAAAAAAATTGCCATGCAATGTTATGTTTATGTAGTATGTTTATGGTATTAAAAAAAAAAACACCAAGTTGTAGGTCCAAGATATGGAGATGAAGGTAGGCTGTGTGTCTCTATGCGGAAAGGGAGGGATGCCATTAAGAGATGACTTTTACCTCATTATACATACCTGCAGTTTGTTTGATTGATGGATTTTGATATAACACAGTATTTTGAAAGTCAAGAAAAAGAATTGCCCTCTAGAAGGTCTCAGGCTAAGAGCCCAAAGGGAAAGAAAATGATATTGCTACTGGCAGCAGGGACAAAAGGTTGAGAAAACATTATTAGTTGCCTAATGACTCAAGAAGAAGGTGTTACGTTGAAGACTTTGGGCAGCTGCAGTTTATGAGGTGCTATTGTTGATGGGAAGCCACTGACACAACAGCTTTTCTTGGAAATGCAGTTTGGGGTTAGTTGGCCAACAGCTACAAACAGCAGTTTAGTCAGAAAATCGTGTGGATAATTCAAAGCATGGAGACCCAGAGCCCTGAATTCTAATGCATGTAGAATCCACAGGGAAAAAAACAAAAACACCCTAGAAGCTTCAGAAGGCTTGATCTTCTAGAAATAAATGACCTCGGTAAATTCTGGCCTGAGTGAAATAGTTGCAGGTGATATCAGATCTTTGAACCTCAATTGCTTAATTTTTAAAGTAAAGGGGTTTTAATAATTACATTTAAACCTCTACTGCAGATATTAAAATTTTACTATGTTAAATATTAGAAACAGTAAAATTAAATTAGCAACCTATTTTAATATTTTGTTTGATCTGAGCTTAACATAACTATCCAAAATTCTAACATTATCGTATGGGTATTTTTTAAGCACTTGTGATTACCATGGTCTCAGAACAAATCATGTTCAACTGAATTAATCTCTCTTTTAATAGAATTATTAGAATACTTTCAGTAAACTATTGGCCAAGGGAATCGTATAATATATTTGTCAGCAAGATTGAAAAATATGGGCTGAGTAATGATTTGTAAGTAGTCAGAAGACTGTTAAGAAGACTGCTGATCTATGGATTAGTGTCACCCAGGCCTAGTAGATGGAGACATATCAAAAATGGATGTAATTACTTTATAAGTAGTTAGTTTCCTATCACTCAACACATTCAAATGCAGCCTAGACCTCAGTTTTTTACATATGCTATAAAAATAAATGAATGTATTTGTGGCAAATTAAATGACCTCTAAGATCCTTTAAGAAAAAGGCTGAAATTCAAAAACTTATTATCATCTCAGTGGATCCAAAATGCACAATTGATAAAACTCAATATCTTTTCCTGATTTATTATATTTTTCAAAAAAGCTTAGTAAAAAGGCATGTCTTTAACATGGTGATGAAGATCTATTTCAGATAAAACCAACATGGAGAAATACCAGAGATGCTTTCATCAATGTAAGGAATAAGATAAAGATGTTACAATCATTACTAATAATTATTAGCTAAGGACTTCTATAATAAGCTAAATAAAACACGATAAATAAGAGGGAAAAGTTTGAAAAAGAACATAAAGCTATTAGTTTACAGGTGATATAATTGCCTACTGTAAAAATTTCAAGATTTTTAGCTGAAAATTATTAGAACTGCAGAGTAAGAAATGTGTTTGGAACATTGTTGTATTACAAAGGCAAGCATAGAAATTTCAGTAGTTTTTCCTATCTACTAGCAATAGCCAAGGATCAAGCATCAAGGATTTGATCCTTGATGTTAAGACTGAGATTTATAGGCCTTTGGGGCTCAAATAATTTCACAGTTTTATAGTTTACTCTTTGGGGATGAAAACCAACAGCCTCTTCAACCTTACAGGTCTCTGCATTTCAGGACTCTGTATTCTCTTTCAATTTTGCTTGCAAACTTTCCAATACTATTTAGAGATCATCTCTTTCTTATATTAAATTGCCAAATGCAGCCAACAGCAACCAACATTTGCTATGAACATTAGTTTTTTTCAGTTCTTAAAACCTCATTAGGTACATTGTCTGTCTTCCAAGTAATTGAAGGTGACAGGTTTTGCCATTTTTTCCTACCACATAACACCAGTAACTCTTGAACTGCCCTCTTTCCTGCCTTTGATAACAGATTCCTTGTCTGTCATCACCTGGCATCTGAGAAAATGCCACATATTTTAGTTTAGTTTGTTTGTTTGTCTTGTTTTGTTTACAGAATCACCCCACTTCTAATTATAATTTTGGTGACAGAAATAAAAAGTGTTACTTCTGTTAGAGGAGGTCATCAAGAGGACATGACTCCCAGTCGACCCTCAAGCTGCACCTGAGCAATCGGAGACTCCTACACCCTCCCCTGTCCTTGCAATGTATGGAAATACTCACAGTGGGACCTGTTTCAAGGACCTACAGCCTTTAGAGACCATGTGTTGTTGAGATCATCTGGACTGTATACATGACTGGGCCCAGTTAAGATCTGTATATAAACTTTTAAGATTGCGGCAGGTGGATGCAGAGATCTACTCATCTCTTGCAGCTGCCCAAGACAAGCCTTGGTTATTAATCCTGCCACCTACCAATCTGGAGTGGTCTGCTCTTTCTTCAGTCTCTCCTTGCCTTCTGTGTATGGGGTGCCAGTTTCAGATTTCACTGGAGAAACTCCTGAGTTTTCGAACTTCATAGTGACAAAATATTTAATTTGTTAGAAAATACGGTCATACCACACAAAGCACCCCCCTATTAATAATTTTCCAATTTCCTTCAATACCCAAACTTTATAGAAAGTACCTAGTTCTCAATACATTTTTGGACACTATCTCCAAGTGATAAATTAATATTTACATACTCAAACTAAAAACAACAGTTTTAACAAAATTATGTGCATTTCATTGAGTTACATTTCAAATACAATTGGTGGAACATCGAAAATCACAAATACGTAGAAGTAGGAAGTTTTATTGAGAACCTCCTGCTGTGGGAAGATGGTAGCTTGATGTATTACTTCTTTCTTTTAAAATTTTCATTTTGAAATAATTTCAAATAAAAACTTACAGAAAAGTTTATAAAAAGTAGAAGGAACTGACATATACCCTTCATCCAAATTCACTAATTGTTATATTTTTATTTATATTCCATACTTGGTATATCATCATCTCTATATACAGATAACATTTTTTCTAACCTATTGGATAGTAAGCTGAAGACCTCATTCCCTTCTACCCCGAAATACCTCAATGTGAATTTTCTAAGAACAAGGATATTCAGGTACAGCTATCAATTTAACATTATACAATTCTCTTATATAATCTCCAGAACTTAGTCTGATTTTGCAAATTGTTCCAAGATTGTCCTTTTTGGCAGTTTTCTTTTTTTAGTCTAGGGCCCAGTCCAGGTTCATACATTGGATTCACATGCCATGTCTCTTTGGTCTCCTTTCATCTGGAACAGTTTCTCAGCTTGTCTTCACCCTGAAGTTGGTATTTTGAAAGTACAGGTCAGTTATTTTGCGAAATGCCCCCCAGTTTCGGTTCATCTGACACTTCTTCGTCATTAGATTGATGGGTAGGAATACCACAAAAGTGATATTATGCTCTCCTTGGTGCAGCACATCAGGAAGCATATGATATCATTTTGTCCATTATTGGTGATGTTAACCTTGATCACTTGGTTAAGATGGTATTCTCCTGGATTCTACTGTGAAGTTATTATTTTCCCTTTGTGATTAATAAGTAATTTATAGGGTGATAACATTGGGTCTATGAAAATAAATACCTTGTTCCTTACCAAACTTTATACCCACTAGTTTTAGCATCCATTGATGATTCTTGTCTGAATTAGTTATTACTATGATGGTTACAAAATAGTGATATCTCTAATACCATCATTCCTTCCATATTCATTTGTT